AGATGCTGGGGCATTAGCCTCTCTGAGCTGCTAGATCAGCTAACACACCACAATGAACCGATCTGTTTCCAGTTATACATCCACGGGATGTATAGCAGCAGCTAGCAGAATTTAGGGGTTTAGTCCGACCATTAAAAGTGATTTTTTTAGCTCCCAGTTCAATAAAATGTGGCCATTTTACCAGAACAAGAGCACAGCAGTGCCTTGAGCTAACTAAAGGCTAACAGGCTCAAAAAAACGAAGCTAACAATGCGTATTATTGTTTATCATAATTATGAGACGAAATACTCAAACAAATATTAAATTAATCTTCATTAAGACGCCATTTCACCCAAACTCAGCTCCTATTGGCTGTGATAAAACTGTCTCCTCCTTGTTTTTCTTTCTTCAGCAAAAGCCACTGCCCTGTTTTATCTGAACACACACACACACACTGGCAGATAGTGTAGAAGAACAATGTGAACCAGAGCCTGAACTGCACTCTGCACAGCTCCGGTTCGTCCAATAAGCAGGTTGTAGACATTTAGCGTGGGCTAGTGTTGCTTAGTGACCAAATGATGTGCAGCTATTTTTTAACCTCCATAGAGAAGTGGCATGTTTGTTATTAAAACCTAAATGAAAATGTAAAATCATCTTTGAAAAAAGTGAATTATATCAATACATGAATGTTGAGAAAAGACACATTTTCACCATCAGAGGAGACGACGGAGGACAGAGGCATGATGGGAAATGACTGGAGATCTTTACACATTATTCAACCTGAAGTGAACTGATGGACTCGTTAACACTTCAGTGAATCTGTGACAACTTTAGCACATAGTTATATATCCTGAAAGTATATAAATATCCATCAGCATCATATCTGATCTCCACAAACATGGATGAATTCAATCTGGAGAACTTGTTATATGAACACAGGCGTTGATTTAAAGCTGAACCTCCATCTGAATGAATTTAAAGGTGCGATTATATTTTAATAAATCAAATTAATACAGATAACGTTCAATGACGACTCTCTCCATCCAGCCTTTTCTCCTCCTGCAAGTAAACAAACTCCATTACCGCGGTAGTTCCCAAACCTTTTTCCTTCTTCATTTAATAAACGGACCTCAATATTTTTATGGATATTTCATATTTAATTTTAAAACTGCCACAATGAACCCCAAACAGTGAAACTTTCAATAACTGGCAGGAAGTTTGTGAGATGAAGATGGAATTTTGAGCAGATTTTTTCCTGTTTATTTATTTTATATTATTATATGATAACGTCTTCCTCAATATAACAGATCCTGTAAAACCAACATCTCGACCCTGCAGACTGTGTATGGAAGCCCCTTTCTGCCAGTAAAATAAAGAGATCAATACTTTAATTTAAAAAAAAAAAATATTCGCCAAATTTTCATTTTTATCTCACAATGTTGATTTTTTAAATCATAATTTCGATTTTTTTCATCATAATTTCGATTTCTAATCATAATTTTGACTTTTTAAATAATTCAATACAATACAAACAAGTATTGTAACCGTTGTAGACGCTGACAGATGGTACATCCAATCAGTATTTTTTTAAAGTGTCNNGTAACAAACCATCTGGCCCAGTCAACCATAAGATGAATTGCTCCTGACCCGACAGTCGGACCTCAGAGTGTCCACAGTCATTATTCTGCTGTTTTTGTGTTAATGTGATTTATCGACGCGCCTTTAAATTCAGATCCGTGTGTGTGAGGTTTGATTTCACTCTAACCACACAACGCCAAAAACAATCACCGCTGCCACATTCTGCATCACA